ACGTCGCATGCGCGCGTTTTTTTTTAATGATTATTAATATTATTGAGAGTCGCTGCTCTTACCTATACTTTGCAACGGTATCAATGAGTTCCCCCATTGTCCGCAGCCAATTTGTCGCCACACGTGAGATTACTAGCCTTGCAAACTTCACAATAGTTAACCATAACTCAAACACATTAAGAAAGACTAACCTGATCCAAGAACTTCCCAGCTGATGAAACTCACGATAGGGAAAATTTGCCAATGTGCAATTCTATTAGGACCAGTAGATGAATGCAGTAGAAAACCTCTGCTAACTTTGCATGAAATAATGGCCATACAAAATATTTGTGATCAAATCACTTTAGAAATCACATCACAATTTTGGAAGGGAAGTGTCCGATGCAAGTAGAGAATGGATGCAATAACTAGGTTTATTTCAATAAAACAGAATGGTATCACCATTGACTTGAAAACTCGGTGAACCGAAAATTCACCTCGATTTATAAAAATCATCACTGTCCTCTGAAAAGGGTGATTTTATAATTATGATGCCTCACTGAGGGACCCCGAACCTTTCTGGTGGTATCCCTGGCATACGTTCTCACTCGAATGCGCAAAAATGCATGAAATAACTTCTTGATAAGCAGCCACATGAGGCTCTCCATCGAAAGCACACTCGGAAATGTGGTCCTTCAGACGAGGGAAGAGGTTTTCCTCCGGAGCTTTTGCTACCTTTTTCCACTGTTCTGTACGGACAAGGCAGCCAACACAATATTTGATTGAAGTAATGTGAAAACCAAAGGCTCAAAAGCCTCAAAGGCTTTCCCTTTATTCAACCTCAACCGCCACCTCCACCAAAACCTCACCCTCAACCTCCACGGGACTCAGTAACTTTAGGCATAGGCCTAACCGATGGACTATTTTTAGGTCAGGCCTAAGTGTACCTTTTTCCGTTCAAAAGAACCTCAATCCTCCGCTTACGTAGCCAATTAGGCCTACAAGGATGAATCCATGGTCTCGACATCTCGTGGAGGACGTGTTACACTAGGCGGATCGCACGCCTATTCAGACTCTCACGAACCATTTCAGAGGACATGTAACGTTAGACCGATTCGAGCCCTGTTTCGAGTTTCATGTACTCTTTCAGTGCGGACGTGGAACGTTCGGTCTACCTGGAGTTCCTCGAACCGTCTCGACTTGGTCTGACGAGAGGATGACTCCGGGAAGCATGAAACGCATGGTGAAATAGGCGCGGTAGCGCCTATTTATGACCCGCCTATCATGGCTTCCAAACCTCACACTACATTAGCGCCACCAGCCGCTCTAGGTATGAAATATACGATCTCTATGATTGTGCCGATGGGTCGTCCTTACCTGAGAGTCAGAGCGTCATCGATTTACCTTGTTGCAAGTAGCACTTTAGTGCCATCTCCTGTCAGTCGTATGAACTACCGTCATGAAAACGCAGACCGACCTTCCGGTACAATGACCAAGGTTCAGACAAACGGACGATTGGTCCATATTGGATAGAAGTACTGTAGGTTGTATGTTCCAGATTTTCATCATCCCTTGTCCTCTCTACTGCAGCCTGTTTGAGGCCTACCCATTTTCCTACCACACAATTTCTACCATTGCTTTTAAGGCCAAAGAACCATACAGTTTTCATTACCATATCTTCAAATGTATATTTTCTCATAACTGCAATCAAAGGAAAAATTTTGGCCTTAAAAACAACAGTAGAAATTGTGAGGTGGGGTCTGAATAAAAATGCGTGGCATGCCTTAAAAAAAATATATGAGCTTTGAAATTACTCTTATCTTTTACTCAAGTAAATGACAGATTTCTGCAAATTTTTCAAGTTTGATGAGCTTTATAGAAAATGGCACCATATAATTAAAAACAGTGATTTTTTGCGAAATTTGTGATTTTTGCCTATTTCGACCCATCACATCTCCTTAAGTGGAATTTGTTGGGACAAAAATGGGACAAACATCATTAGATCTTTTCCCGATCCAAAAACATACATGATGATAGGGTTTTATGAAGATGTTGACGTTTTACAAATTTCTGAAAAGGAAAAGCAAGTAATAGGAATTTAAGAATCATGCATACAGGAAGATGCTACGATGATGATGCATAACTGCAGCAAATGAGAATTAGAAATCACTTTTGAAATGCAATGAGCCACTGCATCGCAAAATGTTTGTATTCAGTGTGTTCAGAAGTATAACTTTTTATTGTGAGACATTGAAAAGTCCTTGGCGAGGAAATGGCATACAGTTATGATTTTTTTGATGTCCCAATTCTTCAAAGTTTTTATTGTAGGGGAAATTCGTTTATCATGCTTGTCATTTAGGTTCATTTTCATAAGAAATTTGTGGATTTTGATGCCTGGTTCATATACAAAATTGATCTTTTCTCGCACCTGGATCTCAAGGTTGACATATATTTGGACAAGTATCTGACATTCATTTAATGTATTTTGTAAGTGCTGCATGAGAAATTAAAAGGAAAAATGCATTTATGTTATTTTTCAGCAGGATGTTGGTTTTTGCGTCAAATATATCCTCTTCAATCCCAGTGTCCAAAATTGTGGACGTTTAGATTTGTATACATTATCCAATGTACATTAATTTGAGAGCAAAACCCAATTTTTGATAAGTGTAGACATACAAAGGAAAGAAGACTAACCCCTGGCATTTGGAAAATGCTCAGGACTGAAGTGGATATGGGGACTCCAATATCTGTCTCATGTATCACGAGAGTGAACATTTCTCACATGTAATGGATGTTGAAAGTGAGAATCAGTATTTCCTTGTTTTGACAAAAATTGGACATCGATTTCGTTTCACATTAATGTTCAAATGCTGTTTGGGTGGTAGCCTTCTTATGTCTTGCCATAATGGGCCCAATCCGGCAGAAAAGTTGGGTCTCACGAGACCCAGAGGTAATGCCGGAGCCCAGCCACTAACATTATTTGTACAGCCCAAACCGGGCTGCGACAGTTGGCCCGCATACTTCGCCATAAATCGGCCTTAATTGACCCAATCATGGTTGGCTACCTGGGATGTTATTGCCTCTGCTTATGACTACTCGTGTTCCTACGGCCAATTGAACACCTGATAGACGCGCAGCTAAGGTTCCCGTTCCAGTAACGGCACAAGAAGTGCAAAGGATGATGCTCATGCATAGAATGAAGCAGCGTCGAAGGGGTGGCGGGGTAATCCCGAGTCCCGATCAGTCACATTTATTGTATACTAAAATATATATCCTATAGAAATCGTATACTCTTTTTACGTTTCAAAAATCTTGTGGGATTTTCTAGAGTTTTTCGTAAGGGCGGAATTCGCATCCTCTTGGATGCAAATCAAACCCTGACCTGAACGAAGATGGAGATGACTCTCATGTTTTTTAATGGAAAATTGTGCCTTAAAGAGGTGAAGACCTTTGAACGTCACAATATGTTGACGTTACTTACTAGATGCTCTGTATTCCGTATTCTGTATGCCTCTCCTGCTCGTCCCGATGAATTTTGCACTGGTTAACGTCTATGTATACTTATTCCTCCGTCGTATGCGTTTCATCGACCTTCCTTCAGTTCGCCCATAGAGGGGCATGTACAATATGTCCACGTACTGTATGGTATATACAATATTGCCATGTACAGTATGGCATGTACAGAGTGGTCGTTGCGCGAGAGGGTATGAGAGGTTATCAGTCTGAACTTGAAGACATAGGGAAGGCGAAATGTGACCCATCCTTTGGATTGATTCGACTGTGACGGAAACGGTTTCAGATTTCTTGCATACGAATAACAAAATCGGGTCGCAAATCAATGCACTCTATCACTGAAGAGTCTACTCTTGTTGCAGACCTACACCAAAACGGAGGAAAATAAATTTACGAAAGAGGGAAGGAATTTACCGATGGGAAAAAAACACCTTCTTTCGTCTGGGATATTTTTTTTCGGAGGGGAAAGAGTATTCTAGGGGAAAAGTACACCCTGACGGTGGGACATGTATTGAGATTTAAGTACTGCCTGCCAGAATCTCTCCCGCTTTATTGTGAATGCTACCACAAACTGCCTTCATCTAAAAGTACTTTTTTTGCTAAAGCTTTCTCCTTTTTCCTTTTCTCTCCGCTGCCACACGATGCCTTCTCGACCTTTCCTCTTTAGAGAAGTTTTTTTCCCCCTGGTGATTGGTGCTTGTGGCTGCACACACACGGTTCAAGTGGCAGCAGGTACTTTTCCCAGTTCTCTCTTTCGCGATCCACTTCGACTCAACCAGCTTCCTCTTACTGGCGTTCTCTAAGTTTCCTGATGCAATTTCATCAAGGTCAGTCCATGAGGATGCGGCAGTTCATTTCAGAAGATTCTTCTCTCTGGAGACCTCGTTCCCTTGTTTTTAAGGCGTGAGACCTTTCATGATTTTTTAACTTTATTTTTTTACCGAAGGATTTCCGTTTTCCATTCTTCATTTATTATTCCATGCATTACCCAACGGTCCCAGAATAGCCTCTATTCAAATGCCTCTCCTCCAAGAGCCGGTCTGTTATCGTCGGTCCGTACAGAATCGATCGCCCTCATGTTTCGAGGCTGGCGGCAAAGTGGAAATTAGTGCACTGCTCAGCCTCAAACCCCACCTAGCAACCACACATGCGATGCAGCATAACAAAGAATTTTCCGTTTCCAGCATGGCATTGCAACCTAAGGCAGATGGCGGAAGAAACGGTTCACAAAGGAAGGTTTTCCTGAGGTGGTTGCAACCATGAACAAATTAGGCTTGTCAACCGTTTTATTGGGATTTCGATGATGCGTGATCGCGAAATCTATCATTGTTGCACATCTAGTTAAAGTAGAGAAACCCACCCATTCTGACTATGGGCTTACTGACTACAGAGAAGTCACCTTGTTCCAATTTAAATTTTGGATGCAGGCATTCGTAAGACCCTTTGCTTATTCGCGACGATAATGGCCCTTATTTAACCTTCTGGTCGCAGGGAATGCATCAGGAAAGATGTGGCTGGCCGTGGTATTCGTTCAAGCGATGGCGATGGCAACGGCCGCATCGGAGCCCGATTGCGAAGAGGAAATTCTGAATGGCTGCGTGGATCACGTGATGAAAGTCTTGAACCAAGAACCCGCGTCCCTCCTTCACTTCAGGGACGACAATCACCGTCAGTACTGCAAGTACGGCGCACTCACCACATCTACTTTGCATGATGCTGCGTTGATTTGTGAGGAAAAGAAATCGTTTGCGGCCGTGCGAGACTGACACCTCGTCGCGAGTGGCCTCGCTCGCGCCAAATTTATTAAATAATGTATGTTAAATTACTATTTATTTATAATATTTATTTTAAGTGACCTTACTGATATAGAACCAACAATATCACCGAACATGTATGAATATTTTTTTCATGTCGGCTCGTCAACGAAAAAGTGACCTTTTCAAAAGAGTCTTTGACCCAGCAGATTAAATCAATGGAAAGGTAATAAATCCATGTCGGATGGAAATAAATTACTTCGAGGCTGAATTCCACGAAGGGGATGAGGTCGTAGTTGTGGAGCTGTCACTTCCTCCCATGGGATTTAGGATTTCCCGCATAAAAGGGCTCTCAATTCGTAAACGAATTTTTTCTGAAATCCATTCTTCCGTGGGGCCTCTAGCTGTCTTTGAAGATCGACCGTGCGTAATCGGATTTCTTTCCGTATAGGGCGTTTTCCGATGGGATCAAGTGCATGGATAACTACACGCAGAACTGCTTGGAGGAAGACGGGAGGGAGGTGTTTGCGAGGATGTATCCCGGCCCGAGGATCGTCTACTCCTTCCTCTGCTTTCATGAATCCTTCCGGAAAGGTATTCCGTTCTTTCCTCCAGTCGTCTCCGTGTTCTTTCCTCGTTCGTGTGATCGGTCCAAGCCGTGTTGGACTGCTCATAGCCGGAGAAGCTGACTATGTTTGGGCGTGTTTCGAGGAATTGCATATCGAATGTAAAAATGTTCCCGTCTTTCACTTCATTCCCGCCACGTTCCACGTTTGCTCGTACACGTGCTGTAGGTTATCCTAATATCGTGTAATTGAAAGCACTACGAAAAATCAGCTGTCTCGAGTGGTCGCCATTTTGCCGAATGTCAGCCTTCGGCCTGGAAGCCTTCACGATGGTCCTTGCGTCATGCAAACATGTTTGAATGGGAAATTTGAATCGTGATAATCTCCTATTCATTGCAAATTTGTGGACAATTTTTAATTTATGGGTTTATCTTCGCGAGGCCTTCTAGGCCTAATTAGCGGCCTAAAAGAAGTCAAAGGCCTCCCATATGGCAGTCATGTTGAAACGATGCGAACATTACTTACCAATTACATTTCATTCCTCTCTGTCTTGCGTAATGAAAATGAACAGTGAATGAAAATGAATAAGCACAGCAACTTCAGTTCCATTTCAGTTTCAGCAGTAGAAAAAAAAATCCCTCAGAAGGGGGAATTTTTTTTCCCCCGGGCTGCTGAGGGGGGGGGGAATCAGCCGTCTTATTCCCCCCATAAAATACTCTTGTGAGTTTTCGGCTTCCGTTTTGATTCCTTCCCGGTCGCGCCTCGGTTGGCAAAAGTTCCTTGGCCCCTTAACCCAATTGCATTCCTATTTACGAGGCTTCCCAATAGTCTAACCGTCGGTTCATAATGCTTCATAATGGGCTTATCATGGACATGCTCATAAAATTTCGAATGGCGATGAAACTCGGAGCAGTATTCGTAATGCTACAGAATTTGAGGATTTTGATGTCCCGATGCCATCACAGAGGTAGCAAGGAGATAATTGCAGAAAATCCAGCGAATAGAGGCTTGCAATCCTTTGGATCATTAAGCCCCATAGGGACAGTTTCCTTGAGATCATCGTTTGTTTCCTCGAGCAAGTATTTATTGAATTGATAGTTAATTTTCCGACCAATTCTTTCCATTTTCTAGCAATACAGTATTATCCGTATGTCAGCGAGAATTTGTAAAAAGGGACATCATCATCAATATCAGAGATGGGATGGGAGTTCATATGGGAGCTGATGAACTCTCAAGTTCCAAGCAATTCCTTAGAACGCTAACAAAAGCTTCGCCCTAACAGACTCCCTCCCCCTCCTCCCCCCCCCCCCTCACACACACACATACCGACAGACGCAAGCATCCAGGCTATAGCTTAAGAAGCCTTATCTTTTTTTTTTTTCAAAGAAAGGAGGTTAGGAGGTAAGGAAGGCGCTGATGAAAGTTTTCTTTCCGAACGTCATTCGTGCCAACTGCAAACCCCAAAGAGTCTCAGTGAAACCTTTCTTGATGGAGGTCGCATTCATCAATTTCTTTCTTCCCCTTCTCAATCACATACTTGAATGACGTAATTGCCGGAATGGGAAGTGAAACCCTCTCCGGTGCATTGACGCTTACCCTACTTTCCCAAAGTGAAAATTGTTTGTACTTCCATCAATAAATGATTATTTTTTTTTAGAGTTCCTGACTCATTCCAAGTGCTATGAGGCCATCTATCCGAAGATCCTCGTTTGCTTGAAAGATTCCGAATCTCAACCGATTTCGGCCAATTCAACCCAACCCTCCTGCTGGTCAGTCTTCCGAGTGCTTTCATGTTTTCGTTATCGGTTCCATGACGAAAGCAGGCAATATTGCCCATACTAATATGGTGTTGTACCTGTCGCTGTCCCGGGTCGCACGGAATGAAAAAAAAAATATATATATATATATTTCAAGGTATTTTCCTCGGTGGAAAACGAGAGCATGCAAATTGGCAGGCTATGGACGTAATCAATCGAGGCAAGCAATAAAGGAAAGGACGAAGACGAACGACCTCCGCTTCGGCCATGAGCGTCCGAGAAGACGAATCTCTCGATCGGTCGGAGGTTCCCCCTGGCGGGACCCGATGGTGCGAGCAGCCACGGCTCCGCATTCAGAATTCACCGAGTGAGCACGTGGCACTCGCGTTTCTGTGGACGTGGGGGGCAAGGGAACGCGAAAGAGTGGATTGTATAAGGAATTGAGTGAGTCTCCCTTGGGATGAGGTATAAAGGGGGTTATAGTGGTGGTTCTCAAACTTGGGGAGGGGGATATAAATCAATCTTAAAATCAATTCAAAATTGATTTCAAGATTTACTTGAGTTCTCTATTATTTTAAATAAAATTGTTCACGTTCCTTCTCTGCCGAGAGAAGGGACCCCAGGGAGATGTAACCCTTTGAACCTTAGCTTCCATACCCTTATCCCCCCCCCACCCTAGGTTCCTGGGCGGGTCAGAGTACCTGTTGCTCAGGCCAAAAAATCGGCCTGGCGGGTTCAAAGGGTTAAGCAGAGTTGCATAATGTAGGCCGAGAGAGAGAGAAAGGGGAAGGGGAGGGGAGAGAAGGGGGTCATCTCCTGGATTTTTCCTGAAATACAAGACCGATATTTTTCTTTGATCTTTTTTCAAGAAAATATGCAAATGAAGTAATCCCCAAGCGCAGACCTGGAATTCCTGTTTATGCATGAGTTCCTTTCCACATCGCCTCTCCCCCAATAACCCCAATGACCCCGATGGCATGGAGACGCTCGGTTGCTCTCGTTCATCGCAAGGCTCCGTCGCCGCTCGAGTAAACCGAAGCAACGTAGGCGTACGGCGGCTATGGATTCCGCGTTTACTTGTTGTAAATGCTTGTAGCGATGGTGCTCGGTTTTCTTGGAAGAATTTCAGTGACAGATCCTGCATTTTCTGACTGTGGTCCAGTACTTTCATTGCCGTGATCATTTTTCTTTAATTTTTTATCCGTTGGCGAACGAAAATCTATTCTATGGGTACACTGTTGGCAGAAAGGGTTCAGAGTTTAACCTAGGTGAAGGATAAACCGTAAAAAACGGTTAGATATCTGCGAATAACCATTTAAAAGGGTTAATTGGATGCTCATTTTAAAGGCAATGAATTCTTTATATCCTTTTCGAGCGAAAGGATTAAACATTTAACTAGGAGAGTTTTATAAATCTTGTTAGTGGATAAATGAATATCTATGAGAACATGTATACATATTTATCCTTTTGAGGTTAAATATGGAAAACACTGAAAGAGGATATGGTCTTTCGAGAAAAAATAAATCGTTTTTCCAGCTCAAAAGGACAAAGATTATATTTACGCGATCGCCTTTTTTTTTTAAGCGAGGGAAAGTTGTGCATGTGCAAGATGGGCCATATGTATCCGGTTGTTGAACTGTCATCGATCTGGTATGTGCATGCGCTCTAACAGACATGGGACTCATGACCCACCCCGAAGATGAGCCAGTTTCTCACTTTCATAAAACCCTCCAAATGAATGAAAAAAGGGCCTCTGCATGTAAGACCAATTATCAAGTATCTCGGAAGATTTTTCAAATAGACCATCCAGAAAATGAATAAATACGTCCTTTCTGAGGCTGCATAGTTATTCCCAAAGAGATAGTTCTTTATAGAAATCGGATGTTACCGACCAGAGTTCAGGTTTTAACATTTTCATGGTTAAACAGGAGAAAATGTACAGATGACGATGAAACACCATTTGCAAGGGTTATTCGTGCGATGTAAAGTTCCTTTTTAGACTACTAGATGGAGTTATGGTGCTACTGTTTCCCACAGTACATTGAATAGTCCTTCCCTCTTTCCCGGGAATCTCATCAAATGTATGTTATGTCACCTCGTCCTGCGTTTCGCCTTGCCTAGGAAGTAATAAACACGGACACTTCCTTATTCATTATTCTCACATTCGAGACAGATTCCTGGAATTTTGATCAAAAGAAGCTTGTCTTCACAAACAGTAGCCCGCACATATTTACTTCATCTCCATGGAACGTGGAGTACAATGAATCATTTGTCCCCAAGTCACTCCCGAACTTGTTCGTTTTTGGTTCAGATTTTTGAATCTGAACCATTTTTGCTAACAGTGTAGGCTCTACAAATGCAAGGTTCCAGGCTTGTGTTCAGGTACTGTCCTCACAAGGGGAGGGAAGCTCTTAATTGAAAAGTTTTCGGTAGCACTAGGTTTGAAGTTATCCGGAATTAGGTGAGATTTTTGGGGAGTATGTATGAAGATGAGATTACGGATTAGATTAAAGTTTCGCATTCATGGGCTCAAAGCTCTTGCGCCTGGTTACTTATCGCGTACGAGGGGGGTGTGAAAAGTTCTAAGCCTAACCATTATGGAATTTGTTTGGACTCAAAACTTTAACATCTTTCTGCGTAGTCCCTTCTGATACCCAGACATTTGGAGCTGCGATGATGCAGGGCTTGAACGCATTCTCGGAGAGAGTGCCGTGTCTGGGCCCTGTAACCATTCGATAACAGCTGTTATGACGTCATCATCGATCTGAAATCTGATTCCTCCGATGTGCGGTTTCCGAAGGCGGAAACGATGAAAGTACGAGGAGGCAAGGCCTCGGGAATGAGGTGGATGCAGCAGCGGTTCAAGGCCACTTTGATTGCTTGGATCCATGGGAATGCCATGTCTGGGATGGTGCATTTTCAACATGGAACGACACATCTAAACGCCAGTTCCGCCAGTGTTGCAAGACTTTCTTTCCAACCCAATACCTACGAGTTCATGCACTTTTATTACGAGTGGCCAGATGTCGCGTGCATGGCTGCAGTTCGTCTTTCACTGGGGTTCGCAGCTAATTGGCAGTGGTTGCATCCCGCACTCTCTATTGCGTCCTCATCGGCAGATCTGCATCCTTTCAACATGGACTTCATGCGGGGGAAGTGGAATAAGCCTCAAGGTGCCAATTCCGGTGAATGGGATGGATGACTGGTGGTTGCGATCGAATGCCTTATAACATTTCCGTAAATGCATTTATTGATGGAAAGAATGCTTCGATATGGAATTTTCCCCAGTCATTTGGTATTACATCGCTTAGCAATTGACCATCCACACCCCATCCCTCTCGAAAGAATAGTCGATTCCAGACGGCGGAAAGCGTCTCATCTAATGCAAAGAAAGGAAAAGAAAAGAAACAAGTTCCGTCCGAGCCACTAAAGGAGGCAGATTCGATATAGCTGCGATCGGTATCTCATCCTCGTTATGGCGCCCCTCTGCAGTTTAATCAAGAATCTATTTTGCACGAATGTGAGTCTCGTCGACGCAAGACATATATCGCATTTCGTGCGTTTTCATTCGAGCCGCCAGGCCTTCCCTCTTCTCGTCTTTCCATCGGCGGCTTTCATATTCGCAAACTGAGCGAAATGAACAGAATTTTGAGGGACTGGGGACGAGGAACGAGCCACGAGAGGGGCAGTAGACATTTCTCTCGCCGTCGGCATCGCCCCCAGTAATCTGCGACGACACTCGCGCCACTACTCTTTGAGCCTTTGGCAGTCTACTGCATGTCGACTTTATTTGACCTACCTGCAATATAAAATAGAGTAACCTTGAGCTGATTTCCTCGTCTACAGTATATTTGCCAAGAGCAGTGATGCACAACCCGCGGGGACCTTTCTTGTGGCCCCTTGAATGCCTCCGGTCTCTAAAGATCCATATTAATATGGGACCGATTCCGACTCGGTTGGAATCTCAAGTCTCAATTTGGCCCTCTAGGGGGAAAAGGTTTTACACCACTGGCCTAGAACATGAAAGGTTTCAGATAAGCAAAGAAAGATTTATGCCATCAGTTCGAGCCGTATCAGGTCCACCGACGAGAGTCTAGCCCTTTTCATTTAGGAGGGCTTTAATCTTCCAACTCTTTATGTGGGGGATAAGTAACACTCACTTCCAGGAGAGGAAAAAAAGTCAGACCAGGTTTCATTCTGGCTGCCTTCGTAAAAGTATAAAATCTTGAGAATAACGCAGATAGGGCCCAAACTGACTCGCAGTTTGATTTTGGCCGCAATTTATTGCTAAATTTTGTCTTTCGATTTGAGATTCATCTCCAAAGAATAAATATTTTCTCGATCCAGATGTGAATGACGCGAATTCGACGCGAGGTTCCGTTCCGAGGGTGCAAGGCTTCAAACCTTTCAGCCACTTATTATTCCCTCTGGAGCAAAAGTTTGGGACGAGTTTTTGGTCCAGCTCTCCCTCTGGACGCTGGACCAAACTCGCATCCATCGTCGCATCGTCGAACGGCTTTCGGGTTATTGCGGAATAGCTCTATTTTAAAAAGAGTTGATTTTGATTTTTAACTGGGAATGTTACGTTCTGGTCGAAATGGGAAAGATTCAATTTGAGTCGAGTTTTTCAGGGACCGTCCTGATTAACAATAAATTAATAATGCCTGGAAAATAATGCCTGAAGTAACTTTGAAATTCTGAATTCGTCATTTCAAAGGAATATTAAATTAGAATCTAATATTAAAAAAAAAATCAGATTCGGATATTTATGGGAGAAGGAGAACCTAAGAAATTATAGTAATTTTAATATATCGCCGAGATGGTCATCTGTTGCTGATTTCTTGCAGTAAACTCTGTAATATTTGGAACTCACGCTGAAGCAAAGCATTAGCAGAAATCATCCAACGGGGAAAGGGATGATCGTTTCGATATATTAAAAGGATATCTAGAGATTTTTTTTTTAGCACTTGATATGAGAATGAGAGGGAAGAGGCCTGATTGTTCGGGGTCACATCGATTTGTGATATTTGAGTATAATTAGACTAAATGAGAGTTCGTCCGACCCCATCTCGCCTACCCCATCACGGACGGTGGGCAGCAAAAACGCTGTGGGCGCGCCCACAGCGTTTCTGCCGAGAAGTTTCTCCCTTTCGTCTCAGCAGAAATGCTGCGGGGCACGATGCACATTCATCAACATACGATCACATCGTGCGCGTTTGTCGTTGCTTCGGATTCGGATTGAGTTATGAACATTTGATTGTTGTGAAAATGTCTGCTGTAAGTTTAAAGAAGATCTTAACGTCTATGACATTAATTTCGCCGTATTTACGAGGATTTTTTAAATTGGCGTATGCGTTTCGCGAACATAAACTCTTTCACGAAAGTGAATCTTACCTATATATCTCAATAAATTTGCTCGTATTTTGGGATAAAGTAAAGAGGGACTCAACGGAGGGGGAACCAAAGAGAGGGTCACGATCGGTTCATCCCCGACGAATCCAAAAAAGAAGCGGGTGAGAGGGGGATCCTCGCCTCCTCGTTTTTCCGTCTCCTGCCCTTCTAAGAAAGAAAGAAAAATCTGGAGGTAAAGTAGCAACTGGAAGTACTTCTGAAGGCAGGCGAAAGGGAATAGAGGTCGTGAAGACCTCATCTATGTACTCATAGACGAATTTCGTAGGCTCAGTCGGTCCGCGGTCGAGTGGATTTTTCCTCATCCGACCAGATGGACCCGATTCGATTGAGACCCGCGTATCGTATCGGGCCAGCCCGTGGTCCATTGAGGCCTCTAAGCTCGATGATGACGCATTCGCGGGCATCCGACCGGAAATCCTATTGCCGACCTCGTTAAACTCTCGATTCACATCTCGTGCTCGAAGCTTCAGTACTCACATTGTTCTCTTATTTTTCTCTGACTTTTCGTTCTGTACCCTTGGGTGTTCCGAATGCTACCAAGCGGATCTCGCTGAAAATTTGCTCTCAGGCAATTGAGGGTTCCCCGATGGCGGAACGCATTCCTGATGGTTATTTTAAATCCGAATGTTGTGTCTCGGAATGTTCTGAGACAGAAATTACTAGAAAATTGTCATTAAAGGAAATTGTAGGTCTTGGATGACGAGAAACATCCTCCATTGTCCATCTCAACACTATGGGACGAAACTCTCTAAAAAAAAAGGTAAACTGGGAAAATGGAGGAGAGGGGTGGGGGAGGGGTGGGGGTGGGGGAGGGGAGGGGCGGGGGATGGTGGTTTCCTCTAATAGGTCCTATGTCGGGCCTCATCCGACACAAGACGGGACTAGCATAACTTTGTGTTGGGCTCTTCAGAGTGAACCCAGAGTGGACCCACCAGAGAAAAATATCTCGAGGCTCCTCCGACAGTAGACCGAAGAAGTAAGAGTGCTTAAAACGTTCATTTTCTTTCACTCTCTGTCGGGAAATACGACAACAAGGAACTAAGGAATGCGGACGTGTAGACCGACAACGTAAGCTTGGCGTAGAGGCATAGGTTCCGGCTCCCTCGTTCCCCAAGGGCGGGCGGGGAGAAGAACGACACGGAATCGTCTCGGAGGAAATCGTCGGTGACTTCCACGGGGAAGCAGAGACGATGCGAGGCGGAGGACGGGGAAGCGGTCGGACTCGCGTCGAGCCGTCGGGCTGCGATCGCGTCCGCGGCGAAAGGAATTGGCTCTGAACGTATCAAGTTCAGCAGGGATTGCTTGGATATCCGGAGTTTTTGCAACGCGATGACTTGATCTTTTTCGGTGCAAGTTTGCCAAAAAGATGGATAAAATTCGAGTATATTTCCTCCTTCCTCCAGATGTAATGTAAAAGCTTACGTAGCTGAAATCTTTGGAGGAGTTTGGAGGCCCTTCCATACGACGCTAACGTGGATTGAAATCCTCCCATCTCCCAACCGTCGGATTGGCCCGGGGATGGGTAGGGGGGTCATAATCCATTCATATCGGTGTAACGATGGCCAAGAGATTCCGTCTTGAAGGCGGAACAGAACGGGACACGGCGAGGTTGAGCCTCGTCCTGTTTCCTTTTTCTCGCGCTTTCGCCCTTTTTCTTTGGACATGCAAATTGTGTCTGGCGGCACGAACGCGATGCTAGAATGCCTCGTGCCAAACGCGCGCGTTTCATGTCGGCCGGAACATTTATACGTTCGGGGCCAAAAAGTTCTCCTAATTGGCAAAATCCCCACGAAAACTCTGGCAGTACTTCGAGGGAAAAACGCTCTCTTCATCGCGAGCGCGACGAAATTCTTCCTCGAGTTATCGAACTCCTGACACGAGGCAGGTACTTTTTTTTCATCAGAGCGAAAGTTAGGGCGATTCGTGACGAAAATGAAAGAAGAACTAGCAATTACCTCTTAAATATCCACGTCCTCCTAATCGAGGCTAATGGACTTCCATCCCATAGTATTCAAATGAGACACACCGCTGGAATTTTAAACAGTCATATTTCGGATCACTAATATTGAGTGCGTTCCGCCACTCCCCCCCCCCCCCTCCCCCCCCCCCCCCCCCATTCCGCCCCTCCCCCCCCCCCCTCCCCCACCCCTTAATTTCCCTTGATAACAATTTTCTGTCTCGTATCATTCTACGGTGACGCAGCCTTCGAATTTGATAAAGCCACGCTTTGAATCACTATGAGGATGCGTTCCGTCATCCGAGGACCCCTAATTGCTTGTATGCAAATTTTCAGCGAGTTCCGTCCGAGAGCATTCACGCGAGACTCACCGTTCGGATTCGGAACGCCCAAGGTTATGGAACGGAAAAATGAGAGACTCGGAGCACCGAGGGACTCCACCCACGGATCGGGAGTCGAGTGAGATCGGCAATTTCCGGTCGGATGCCCGCGAATACGCGATGGAGTCTTGGAGTTCTCAGGCTTAGAGGCTTAAAGGGACTGCGGATGGGCTCGATCGGTCCGACGCCGTCTGCGGGTCCCGGCCGTAGAGCGTGAAGATGAGAATAAGGACGATCGCATAGGGTTCGAAAAAACCGACCAGTGCAGACCTTCGGCGTACAGACACACGCACACACACACAGCTTCGCCCGTAGAAACGGAAGTTTCAGCCGTACAGAGAGCAAAAAACGTAACGTAAAAACGGGAAGGTTGGCGCCTCGCCAACCTTCCCGAATCCCATTCATCGACGAGATCGCAATATATGTCACCGTCGACCTCGCACTTCGAGGCCGCGCATCGACGACTCCTCCGCGGCAGAGCGGCGGACAAGACGAACGTCTTCCATGGAATTACTTCCGGGGTGTAAAATTCACAAACGAGCGGAATCCCGATTCGGCCGCCACGGATCGTGCTTCGTAGAAGTGTTCTTCACGAGGGGCCACCAGATTTCTCTGTAAAACCTGAACCCCCCCCCCCCCCCTCTACCACTCGGAGTGTTGCCTGTAGTCGATCTCTCTACTCTATGGTAGATAGGCTACACAATTTCTACCGCAAGTGTACCTGTGGTCTATGCTGAACCATCTCGTAATTCCATGGAATTTCTCATGGGGGAGGAATGTGACAAGAACCCGTTGCCGAAGTGGTAAATCTCTGCGGGGCAAAGGAAGGGGAACGGGTAGGGGGATTCGAATTTTCTGATGGAACTGAAAATGGCCTCAGGCTACCCACATTTCAACTTTCGTATGTTATCGACTCGGTCGGTGCAACCGTCAACTTGGAGATGATCGATCGAATGTTCAATCTCGAAGAGGAAAAATTGTGCCAGAATCGAAACGCCTCAAAACCACTTGTTGTATTGGTTCGAGTGTGCTTCAACTCATTCCCCCTCCGGATTTGACAGTTTTCACGGAGAATCGCTGGAGCTTTACTACTTATATCGGCAACTTTCGAATCGCGACTTTTGCTGCAAAATAGACGCATTAGTTAAATGTGTTATCGTATTTTAATTAAAAATTAAAATACCTAAGTTCGTCAAAGTCCAACGATTTCGGCTGCATTCGAAACCGACATGCAAAATTCCCCGTGGTAATTTTACACGAGATGTTGAAACTGTTATCCAGCACCGTTTTGACCCGATTGAACTCGTGTTCATCGACGATGTTCTGGTTTCTCTCCGCACTCCTCTTCAAATTCAGCTTGGGTCACAGTGTAACTCCGTGTAACTCCCAGTGTAACACTGGAATATTCACTCATTCCGTGTGGAGCTCGAGGAAAGAAGTTTTTGCAGATAGACCACTTTTCCTTTCAACCCTTCAAATATTATTTACTCGACCCTGGGCTGCGGGAATTCTTGAATTTTATCGAACTCTGAATGGTTGAGCACCAACCATTGCAGCACTGGCGGTGGAATCATCCACCTGGAAATTATATTTTATTCATGAGTACAAACTGGCAAAAACTCACTCCGACCCCTCTTAGCTTTTCGATGCCGATCGCTTATGTAATTCATCGTTTTTGGTTGCACATGTGAAGCTATCTTTCTCCCATAAAAAAAATACGATTTCGCGTTTACTTTAAATCGCCAAATCGCCTCATATTTGGACGTGGCTCACCGAAAGCCTGTGAATCCTTACTCCTGAATCCTAATTTTTTTTTAATTAGTCGTTTCATATTTAAATGTCTTGACCGAAACCGGGAAGATGTGAAAATACGGTGCACACATACAGAGGACATTTTGCGTCCGTTCTGATTTCGTAAGGCACAAAAAAATTGCGAAATTAAATGTCTCGAAATATTTTCGTAGGCTACCGACCATCGCCGATGCAACGTCGCACAGGGCATGTGAAACCGTGCATCAAAGAGTAATAGATCCAGTCATCGGGTAGGAGATGGAAAAATGCATAAATGCATAGAGTCGTCCATGGTCCACCCCTGACAGTCCATCTGACAGTCCACCTGACGGTCCCCCTGACAGTCCACCTGACGGTCCCCTCGTGCCCCCCGCGGAGCGAGGGGAGGAGAGCAACGTGTCAAGAGTCCGATGCATCCATGGGGGAAAGAAACTCCAGGAAAAAAAAAAAACTGAATTGGCACGAGCGGAGAAGAGCAGCTTGAGGCGAAACCGCTGAAAAGCTGGTGAAAGCTGTACGTAGCTTTTAATACATAGCTTTTAATACTGTATGCAAAGGTTAAAAAAGACTTCATTATGTATGTTTTGTGTAAATTATTCTAAAAATATAGACGCTTATGCTTTGCATACAAAATTAAATTTGTGCGTTTTCTCATTATGATTTGTGCACACGGCTTTAAATATCTATTAAAAAAAAAAGCTGAATATGGCTGCACAAATTGCCTTATATGCATTAAATAAATTCTCAAAGAAAAATTCCTCGGAGTGCTTTCTTCGACCGTGATCAGGATTCTTCATATTTTGATTGAAATAATCTGAGAAAAATAAAAAATCGTTTTATTTTTTCAACGCTTTAAAAATTGGAGACTACCCCCAGGGTGTTCATAAAACAAGTACCAAGAACCTTCTCTCGTTATCGCTTCGTCATAGGCGAATGTTTCCCGCTTTTGCCAATTTACCAACTCTGGGATGATTTTTCCTCGTGGTTTCTCCCCCCCCCCCCCCCGAGGCCATAATGATGCCATCCTCGCCTGTCGCCATTTCTCTTCCGAGAAAAAATCTTCCCCATAAAATAAAATAATGAGAGATCTCCGGTCATGGCGCCACTACTTATAAAAAACGTGCGTTTTTCCTACGTAAATCCTCTTCGATATTGCGTCAAGTGGCACATCTGCCTCGACCCATATCCAGTACCGAGCACGGCTAAGTGCCGACTGTTCACCCGATCGCGTGACAGGCATCTCAGCCGCGAAAGGTGTCTCAAACCCGTTGGGAGATTTCGGCATCGTAGCACGTCGAAGTTCGTTCGATGCGGCGCCGAAATCGGCGACTATGAAATATTCGCGATGGCGTTGATGACGGCGGGGCGTTGGGTCGAGGCTTCACCGTGCGTTCGGGATGGTCCACCCAGGGAAAATTTTTTATTCGGGAAATAACAAAAAAAACGATGTTAAGATTTCGCGAAATCACATCGGAATTTTGTCGATGCACTGTATCTCCATTGCTTTTCGCGTAATCGGTGGCGAATAACCGAGTATACCAAAGTGCGAAGGTATGTAGCCATTTGTCTTCTTTACGTTACTCTAGGAAAGGAAGGAAAATCTGGAGCTTGATAGTAATTGAAGAGTTCTCAGGGAAAAGGGCGTAAGTGCCCCTGTGTCCTTTTTCGGTGTCCATGCTCTGCCTTAGGTGCCTTGTCGTAGGATAGGGTGGCCAACAGGTTGTTAAGATGTGCATTCAGCAAAGGAGAAGCAGATTTTCCTATGCTTTCGCTACATGACATGCCAACCGCCTGAGAATTTCAATATGGCTGCCTCCATCAATATTCCACTAGCACTTGCATCGCTGAACGATTTTCGTGGAATAATTCCTTTCTTTCGAGCCGAAAGTGAGAATGAGGAAGAAACCAGACAGGAGGAAAGGGGAAGAAAGAGGTAGGGTCATAAAAGCTGATGGAAGGATGCGAGAAATTGTCGACAACAATTGGAGATTCAGATGATGAATAAATTAATAATGGATCACTGATGAGTGATTGGTGAATGAAATTCGTCCTGAATATTCATATTTTTATTGCCATTGAGAAAGAGTTGATTTTAAATCTGGAAATGCATTTATTGGTAAATTATGATTTTTAACTGGAGAGAAGTGGCGAAAGACTGACTGGAAAAAGTTTCAGCAGCGCGGATATGGAAAAAAGGCGGATTTGCAAAA